ACGATTAGAGGAGAATGCCCTTCCATCGTAATAAGTTAGGCGAAAGTGCGCTGAAAGTTAATTTTCTGTTAGAGAAAATTTGAGAGAGCTTTCTCATTTTCTTTTACTCATAAACCCATTTTGTTGCAATAAGTAACATTTGAAGATTTTCTAACGAAAATAATGGTATTTATTTAGAATGGATCGACGAAAAAATCAGTTGAATACCGAAAAATACACAGATATTCAAGAAGGTGAAGAATATCGTCGTTTAGCTGAGCAGTATGCTCACGAACAAATGGAATTGTCCAAATTTCGAAAAATAACACAAAGTGATGTTAGATCTATGTACGATAAAACATTAGAAAACAAACAAAAAGTGAAAGAAATGGAAAAACAAATGGACGATGTGAGTTGTTTTATTTCTATATAAATGAATATTTTGCACCCGAGAACGACAATAGACACTAAGCTTAGAAAAACTATTTCTAATAACACAAGTTTTTGAAAACTTGGCCTATCAGATGTATGTTGAGAAAGTATGATTGTATTTGGAAATGGCTTGAAATTGATCATAGAGGTGACAATAAGAAAAATAGTTTATTGCTAAATATATTTGAATATATGTTGCATAATTTTCATTTTTAAAGGAAGAAGATGAAGAATTAAGAATTTATGCTGCAGCTAAAAAGAAAATTGCTCGATTAAGACGCGAGAAAGAAATAGAAGCGCACAAGTAAGTATTTGCCAAACGATAAAATTTGGCTTTAAATTTGCTTAAAATTGTTATAGAGAAAAACAAGAAGCACGTGATCATATGATCGGCTATTTGGGTTCATTACAAAAACGGCAAGAGGCTGATGATGATACAAGAATAGCACGTGGTATAGTATACTGACAATCACAGTTGTTTTTGTCGTTTTTTTTATTGTCGTTCGTGTTTAGCTCAAGCTCAAAGAGAAGCCAAAGAGTTGAAAGAAGAACAAGAAAAACTTGAAAAACAACAGAAAATGCAAGATTCAATTACTAAACATCGATACGAATCAGTAATTTGAGTTGAAAATTATTGGGAATTTTCGCATTCCCAAGTTTTAATTGTTCTAGATGAAACGACAGGAGGCTGAAAAAGAAATGGAAGAACGTGAAGAAGCTGAAATGAGACGTAAAAAAGCCGAAGCTGATCAATTATTTCGTTTATACCAACAAGAAAAAGAAAAACAACGTACCGCAAATTCAAGCGAATTAGCCAAATATCATACGAAACAAGCAGTGAGTTCACACTGAATATATTATGTCTCACAGTGGGCAATTTCTGCATAACAGGCGGACATGAATATGAAGTGTATTCAACAATCTCAACAATGAACTTTTTCTACGTTTTCAAATACGCTCTAGCAAATGGCTGCCTCAAGAACTTTTCTGACAAAAAATGTTTTTTCTCGAATTTAGGCCTTAGTGAACCTTAGACAAGGTTTTTTCGATACCAACTTTTTGTTTAGAAATATGTTGTCCGATATACTTGGTTTGATGAAGTTTTTGCGCTAATTCCAAATATCATCTTGGTTTTGAGTTGAAGTGCTTTCGAAATGAGAAAATTTGATTTTAAAACCAGCGGATTTTGAGAACTCTACTGTACGGTCCCTGAATGTTTATGCATTTTTATGGAAATTGTACAGATGCAGTAGAAGAACATTTGTGCAAAGTTTGAGCAAGGCTGAAAGCGGAGCTACATGGTACGCAGTCATTGCATTGACTAACTCTGTTTCTGAAACATTTTCTAGTGTGAAAAGTTTTTGTTTTCTATCCTAGTTAAGATTCAATCTACATGATACGCCGAACAAAACTTGAAAAAATGAAAGTCGACTTTTATTTCAAATGCCTGTCTGATTGTCCACTGTGTGTCTATATGTTAATTTCATTCTATTTCATTCA